GTCTAAGAGTGTTGTACCCTCTCAAACACACACATTGGTTTGACATTTATAAGGTAATTTACACTCTTAACAGGTTATAATTTGATTACTTTTTCTCTCCCTATTTTCACTTATACAAACTGATGTTTTTCCTCCAATTTATTTCAGAATGTCGAAAAGATTAGCTTGGTGAATTGTCCTGTTCTAGTCATCCATGTGAGTTGTCTTCTTTTCAACTTTTTAATCCTTCCATTCCCTAATTTACTTTCCTTCCTCCCCTTCTCTCGGAGCCCTCAGTTAAACTCTTACAACCTTTAGTCGGTATGAAGTCCTTGGAGGATGTGGGGAGGAGAAGGTACGGGGACTACCATTTTACTTGTTTGACCATGCTTGTAGTTTCTTCTCTAGAGAATTGCTATTTGATGGATCATGGGTTTCCTTTTTTTCAACTGAATATTTTCCATGCCACCGGATTAACTTTCTAGGTAAGTCATGCTTATTTTCTTTTCTTCCAAGTATAAATATTATACCCTTCGGGGTGGCCCAGTAATTTGGGCTTGGGATTTCAATGTTGGAGGTCTCAAGTTCGAAACCCCTTACCAGCTAAAGCAAGGGGTTTGCCTTCTGGGTCGAGCTCGTTGCACCGGGCTTGCCTAGTGGGGGTTACCTCTCCTATGTGGTTTGCGAGTTATTGCATAGGAGCGGGGGTTTTACCCTATGCGCACCTAAAGGGTAGCGGCTGCGGGTTTCCCTTGTCATAAAAAAAAATATATAAATATTATGAAAAATAGTTTGATCTGAATTTGGTTAAGAAGTTCCTAGAGGAAGAGAATTTTTTCAGAATTCAGTTAGCTCTGATGATGTCTCTGTAATGCAGAGTGACCAAACATTGCGAAAATACGCAAGTTATGCCCTGAACTTGTCCAGAAAATCCATTTTCATACTCCAACTTTATGGGTGTCCCCTTACCCTCCATTCTTAGTCACAGTGGAACTACTACCACCTCCCTGTCACACCCAAAACCAGTTACATGTTGTGTGATGGACAGGTGGAGTAAGCATTCCACATCCGGAAAGCTTTAAAATTCTCATTCTTTCAAAAAATCTTCCTGTTCCATCTTCTTCCTTTCCACCATCCTATCACTTCATGCTCCATTCCAAAAGAAATGATCTTTCAGAGATAGGTTTTCCATTTTCCTTTCTCAAACCCAATGCTAAATTTCAAATTTGGGTTCAAGCGAAGAACCACCAGCGAGCTTTGCCCGGGAAAAAATCTTGGGTATCCTTTTATTATCTCCACCCTTCTCCATCTAAGAATCTTCTCCGTTCAGCCATCATTTTCCTAGAGACCCCTATCCAGAAGTTAAAAATAGAACTGAAAGGACAACTTCACCGGAATTTTTTCGATCACACATATTTCAACCACATATAATCTTATTGTACTGTAAATATGATGAGGCTGAGAAATGAAGGCGGTTTCTGAGTGTTGATTATTATGGTTGTCTCTGCCTTTTTTTTAATTTTTTTTTGTGAATGACATGTGATGTATTCTGGAACTTTAGACCAAAGAGGTGAAGTTGGCTGGTTTTGAGGAGGTATAGGTGGGATTGGTGGTCTCTGGCATATTATATGAGGGGATAAGGTGGAGATTTGAGAGAATTTTTTTTTGAAGTGTGGTTGTATATAGGTTTTGTGTTTAGGAACGGGGATGGCCATGGTGCCGGTGGAGATGGAAAACTGGGAAAGAGGTCTTCTCTGGTGTTGGTGGAGGTCACGGAAGCAATGGTGATGGAGGATGGTGGAGGTTCTAGTGGGAATGAAGAAAAGCAACAACGAGAGAGAGAAAACAGGAGCAAGAGAATGGAAAAAGAATAACAACAACAACAAACCTAGTGTAATCCCACATTGTGGGGTCTGGGGAGGGTAGAGTAGACTGTACGGAGACCTTACCCCCTACCTCGTGGATGTAGAGATATTGTTTTTGAAGGTTCCTCAGCTCAAGTAACGCATATCAAAGTAGTTTAAGATCAGAAATACAGAAGTAAAGAGGACATAACAAATAATATGGAAAGCATTACATAGCATTCAAAAAACAAGAATAGTAACAACTAAATAATGCAATAACCGAAGCACAAGAAAGAACAGGTAGTAAAAAGAAGTGTAATGTAAGAAACTATAAGAGTAATGCTACTACTACTGATATGAAAGGAGAAACAAGTACAGTACAAAATGGTAAAAGAATAAGAGCAAAAGCTTTTTCAACTTAAGTGTAATTAGTTGGATAATATCCAATTAGAAAATGGCAACGGTACAGTTTAGCGCGCTTTTAACATTTTCTTTTGTTTTACGTCCATTTCAAAGGTGAGCACTTTCTCTGCCACGTCATCTTTAAGGGTATTACTTCCACTTTGATCAAGCATAGGGGAATAGAACGCTCGTTAAGTTGAAGTGTGTGATGACTTTTTGAACAAGTTCAGGGGGTAACTTTAATTTTTCCCTTAGACCATCCAATGGATTCTTGAATTATATATATACATTGAATGAACTGACTTTTCTTTCTGCAGCAACTGGAACAATTTTGTTTTCTAGCAAACCACTGAGCTAATGAAATACTTCTGCAGAATGTTAAACACACTCGTAATCTTGATGTTATGTTCTTTCTTATCAAAGATAGAAACTGAATTTCAGGTAGCCATTTTAATCAGTGGCCTGATAACAGCCAAGAATCATCTGAATGTGACAATTTTGAATGTACAAGTAATTGTTAACATTTTACTCAATTATTAACATTTCCATGTGTAGGGAACAGCAGATGAAGTTGTTGATTGCTCCCACGGGAAACAACTCTATGAACTGTGCAAGGAGAAGTATGAACCATTATGGATAAATGGAGGCGGTCATTGCAATCTTGAACTTTACCCAGTTTACATCAAGCATCTAAAAAAGTTTGTTCTTGGTCTTGGCAAATCAAAGACTACTACAAATGGTTCTCATAAACCATCTTTAGTCTCTGACACTAAGAAGCCAGCTGAAAGTGTCTCCTCAAACACACTCAATCTGCATTCTGACCTTCCAGAAATTTCAAGAAACAGTTTGGATAGTCGACTTGATAAGGCAAAGAAGTCGAACAAACCTGAGAAGTCTCGGATGAGCACAGGTTGTGTTGACAGGTTTAGGAGACGGAAGGGATTGGTGTGGTAATAATAGCTTTTGTATAGGGGCAATCCTGTTAATTTATAAAACATTGGATTGAGACGAGCTTAAATTGAGCGAAATGGACAGTGTGGATTTTTATAGCTGACTCCAACTTGCTGGGATTGAGGCGTTGTTCTTGGAACGTGACGCCCTAACGGGTGATTGTAGGTGTAAATAATTGCATTATCTGTATCATTTAGAGGTGAAGTTGTGATTTCTGCATCCATTTTGCCCTGTATATAATCTCAAATATTCAACTGTCATTTTTTTATATAGAAAGCTTATAATTTTTGGCTGTGATCATGAGTTCTAATAAAAGTACATTGGCAAGAGAGACAAAATATTATTTCCCTTACTAGTTATGGATTCATTAATAATGTATTAGCTATTTTTAATGTTTAATTAATGAAAGATGAATATCTATTGAGATTTTTTGAACAATTTTTATGCATAACAATTAAATAAGATTTAAATGTCAAACGTTATTGCAGAGGTATAACAATCAAACAACAATATACCTATTGTAATTATATAAGTGGAGTCTCACCTATTGTGATTATACAAGGGGAGTCTAGGAAAAGTTGAATTGATGTACGTAAATCATACCCTATGAAGTTGTTTCTGCGTAGACTCTCGACTCGAAAGAAGTAAGGGTTTTTTCTAACGTGCCTATGTAGCCTCCCGTTTATAAGTATGGTCGACAATATATTCATAACTGAAACTCTACCAAGACATTTTCTCCTTGATTCCCAGCCCAAAAAATTCTCGGATATCATAAAAAATAGTAGCATAATCTTTTATTTAGTATTTTAGACGATTATGACCAAAAAAAATAGCGGAGACGATCGTTATTTACCTTTGATGATAAATATTGCATTTCACAGTAGTGCTACATTTATTTTTAATGATAATAATTTAATTATCGTTAAATATATTTTTTAGTGGCAATTAATCTTTTTTCTAAATGTCTCTAAAGCTTATAACGACATTCATTTTAATGACAATTAAGTAATGCTGATAAATAATTTAATACTCTTTGTTAATGTGCATATTTATTGCCACTAAAAATTATTTTTGTTGCAGTGTAACTATATTAAATATTTATTTATTTCAATTTAACTTCAAATACTCATTGTAGTTAATGTACTTATAAGGTTTCTTCTCAATGTGCTAATCTTTTAATTAATTTCGACTTATTTTAGTATTAGAATATCAAGAAAATTTCAATTTAAGTTTAAATTTTACATTTGATTAATATTAATGCATGTAGAAAGCTTGAATTCTCATTGTTTTAATTCATTAAAACATTTATTTATGGTTAGTGAAAGTCAACAATTTGATTTTGACTTTGAAATTTAAAAGAAACATATACTTAGTTGGTGTTTTTTCAAACTATATTCACACTATTTAATCACAATTAATAATAATATATTTAAATAATTACTATTTTAAATTAAAATGTTAGATTTCTCTAACTACTTGCAATTACACGATTTGTGTTTTATAATGCAAGTCAATTTTTTTTATTTTAACTGCAAAATTTTAAAAGATTTGGATGCATAGTTGGTCTTTCCTCAAACTATATCCACACACTATCTAGCCACATTTGGTAATTTATTAAATATGTTAAATAAAATATTTTCCTTTTTTAGCTTAAAATAATATATTTCTCTACCTACTTGCAATTATAGAATTTGGTTAGTTTATTTTTCATGTATATAAATAATAATGTCACAGTATTCTAGTTCTCATAAGTGTCATTTCTTGGAGAAACATATTGATTCTTGATAATCTTTTTTCTTATTCTCATTCCTTATAACTTTAGTGATGGAGAGTAAGAAGACTAGAGGAAAACAAAAAATTCCAATGTCAAAAATAGAAAAACAACGTGATCGCGATGTAGCATTTTCCAAACGTTGCTCAAATCTATACAAAATGGCAAATGAACTTGTTAAATTGTGTGGTGTTGATATTGGAATAGTACTATTTTCACCTACAAATAAACCTTTCTCATTTTTCCACCCAACAACTGAAGCGGTCATTGAGCGATTTTTGAGTCCAAATTCACAATCAAGTGAAAAGACTCGCCTAGATGCAGATCAAGCACGAAATAAGGTGAATCAACTCAACAATCACCTAGATGCTATGGAGAAAAGGCTTGAGCACATAGAAGAAATTGAATGTTCTCAAACACTAATTCAGCTTAGTCAAATGGAAGAAAATGGTCAAAGAAGTAAGTGTAAATCGATTGACCAATTAAATGCAGATGAAATAACAAAATTTGAAGCATGGTTAAGGACCACCGTCTCTACTATGAATTATCGTCTAGAGAAGTTGAAAAATTAGGCTTTATCTTTGAAAAATGCACCTAGCACTTCGTAAGGGAATACCACCCCAAGTTATTATCAGTTATGTGAACCAATGATGATGAAATTTTAAATTGATATCATTTTAGAATTTTGAGATATGTTTTATTTTATGTTCTATTTAGTTTGTTTTAGTTGAGCTAAAAGTATGTATTCTGTTATAATTTTCGATATCAATATATGAATTTTTTTAATGCTTTTAAAACACATTTTTTTTCTTTGTATATTAATATTTTTTTAGTTTAAAATAGTAAAGAAATGATTTTAAAATTTTAAATGGAACGAAATAAAAGATGAAAATTATAGAATGACATTAATTTTAGAGGAAATTTTTTCGTCCTTAATTAAATGTCTTGAGTTTAAGTTGTTAGAAAGAAAAATTCCTTGTAAAGAGCAACAAAAAGTTATTTCTTTAATATTATTTCATATGTTCCAAAACACTACCAAGTCCTTGTATTTCAATCTTTATCATGTTAACAAGTCTCAAAACAGTTATACAAACACATGCATATATATGCTAATAAGTTAATTTGGAACACAAATAAAATAAAACAAAGCATCATATTATTTCATACGAGTTCAAATAAAATTAGATAAACATAAAACACAACATGGAATAAGAAAAAGGAAAATCTTCTCAATTTTGAAAATTTAGTTGAGACATAAAAGTATTTAGATATTCATGACTCCTCTTGCTAATATCTAAGAAAGGAAATCATCATATCATTACATGTGATAAACAAGAGCTTTTCGTTTCGAAAATTAATTTTATGACTTTAATGCAATAAATTGTAAGTTAGATAATCATCTTTTAACACCTCTAAATTTTACACCAAATAGCTTTGCTCTAGATGATAGGAAATATAATTAAAAGGACATGCAAATTTGGTTAGGTATTGTTCATAAAGTTGAGGATCAAGAAAATCGATTGTAATTAAGAATGATGTGAATGAACATTTATTGAATACAACATTTGATGATCATAAAAGAACATGTCTCATAAAGGACTAAGTGGCATTAATGGCCATAATGTCAGGAAGAAGAATGCTTATTTGGGACATTTTTAATTATTTGACAACTCTATCATGGATACTCTTCATCATTCATATTGTGCATCAATTATATGTTTACTCTGAGAAAAACATTAGTTTAGTTAGATGTTTCATTTGGTTTAGATACTAGTCGATACTATATACTATGTTCTATCGATTGTTTTTTGAAAAAATTAGTACTGATCATCAAAGCAAAAGAGAATGAATGTGGATGTTAAAGTTTTAATTTTGTGATTAAAGATAGTGAGAAATATAGAGAATTATTTTATCTTGATTATGAAGTAGTCGCATTCTAATTCTTGTATTAGTACTCTTTGTGTGTATATTGAATGGACTGTGTAAAGATGATTGTTTATGTATTGAATATAAACAAAACCACTTTCTAGATCACTAAATATATTTATACTCTTAATCTCTATATAATTGTTATGATCAATGTGATTCGTTAATTTCTTGATTTATTAAAATGTAAAACTCTATTGTAAGTCGATAATGCTTGATAGACGGGTTAACCCTGAAATGAGTTGATCTATCGGCTACCCCTCTAATTGAACCCTAAGCTCGGGGAATCATAAATTATTGTATTTTTTTTCTAAAATGACACTCTCCCTTGATTTTCACAATAATATTTGCTTGTGAATTTACATAGTTTTTTTGTTTTTTTATAAAAGGTTTATTTTACACAATCTAGGAACTTCCACTACACCATTTTAGGCCTATGGCCACACTAAATCTGGACAACGCTTGTAAAGTGTTGCCTAAAATATTTTTGGGAACGCTTTTAAAATGTAGCCTAAATTTTTAACTTTTGGCATCGATAATATTGGCAACACTTGTACAGCGTACTCTTTAATGGTATAGGCTACACTTTATAAGCATTGTCATAAAATGAAATAAATGGCAACAACTATTTACATATATGGCCACACTTTTAAAGTGTCTTATTTTTATAATTATAAAAACAACACATTAAAAGTGTGGCCTAAAAGTTTTCACCAAAATATTATATTCCCTCCAACATTTTTAACTCTCCCTCCCATTTTTATTGGCCAAAAATATTAATTGATAAAACATTAATAAAAACTTTTCTCTTTCTCTTCTTTCCTAGAACATACACTTTACTCTTCTTTCCTTGAACATAACTCTTGGTCTGTAGAACAAGCTTTTTCCAGAACTGAAGATCGAAGAGAGGAAGATGAAGAACTGAAGAGCTGAGCTGAAGATTCTCTTCTCCAGAACCCGATTTTCTCGAAGAGATGAAGAGCTAAAGCTAAAGAACTGAGGATCGAAGAACTGAAGAGAGGAAGCTGAAGAGCTGAGCTGAAGATTTCTCCTATACCGATTTCGTGAAGCGTAAGTACCAATTTCGTACAACTGAGATTCCTTTCTATTCTCTACTAATCATCTAGTACTAAAAACAGTCAATTGATTGAATTTTTGTTTTGTGTTTAGAAGGAATTGATTACTTTGGGGTTCTTATAGCTGAAATTTCAAAGTAGGGAAAGAAATTGCGAAAAATCTTAAAGTCAAAGTTAGCCCTAGGCATATTGAGCAGACGAGAAAGAGGGAATTACTACTCGAAAGCATTTGAGTCAGTAAGTATCTATCTTTTTTTTCCTTAATATTATAAATTTTGAATTAAACTATCCAGCTCCGTAGTGTTCAAGACTATAGTAATGCAAAGAAGCCACAAGTATTACTCAGTAAGCTCAGCTACACAAAACATTACAGTCTCTAAAATCCTATAACTCTGTAAGCTCAGCTACACAAAAGTATAGCCAAATAAAATCATGTAATCCTATAACTCTGTCTCCGTAGTGTTCAAGTCTAACATACTCACAAGTATAGCCAAATAATCCTATAACTCTGTAAGTTCAGCTACACAAAACATTACAGTCTCTAAAATCTTAATTCTTGCAAATGTATGCCTATAGAGATGCTTTGTGTATGCAGTTTATTAAGTTGTTGGATATTGCTTCCTAGAGGATTTTTTCGATATGCAGTCCAGACAGTTTTATCTCTTTTGTCAGTTTTAGTTGCCCATCAATCTTGGGTAGTTTAATTTACTTGCATTGGAGGTTGGTTGATATTTGGAATATTACTGTGCTTTTTCAAAAATTACAGAGTCTTCTTTTTTGATATGTAGCCATACTCTATGTTGGATGTTTGGAGGAGTAGGAGTTCCACTGTTAGTTTCTCCTATTTTGTGACTAGAAGCTCCTCTTGATTTTCTGAATGATATTGTTTGCTCATTTGCATAGGGAACATGTTTATTTCACCAGATGAACATATTCTTGATTAATACCTCTACCAGTTTAAGCTTTTCAGCTCTAGAACAGTCTACTCAGGAAATTTGGGTTGGAGAATAGATATAAAGTTGTGTATGACCAAGTGCTGGTTCTATTTTCTTGTAAATTTCTAACAAGACTAAAAACAAATCCAAACAAATATTGTAACTCAATATACCAAAGCAACAAACTTCTATACAAAACAAAACACAAAAGAATTGAATAAGAAAGGATTCAGGAGGCAGAACTCTGTTCTGCTATTGGACATAGTCTGACTGCTTGGAAACACAAGGTTCAGGAGGTAGAATTCTGATGCAGAATGGTTGAATATGACTGGTATGTTTCTGAATAAGGGAGGTGCATAGGTTCAGATTATAGAATTTTTTATGAAGGAAGCAGAGTGATCTGGTAGTCCTGGCAGGTTCTGATTGTAGGGTGAGTCCTGGCAGTTAACTGCAGTAGATAAGAAAACTGATAAGAACACACTCCATATGCCAGCTGCTACTTTACAGTGCAAAAATAGATGCCTAGCACTCTCCAACATTGTCTAACGGCACATATAACATTCATCAGGGCATGTTTTTCCTTCTCTAAAATGCAGTCAACTTTAGTCTTAAAATCTGGTTCAACTTGCTTGCTTTAGATCGTGTTAATTGTTTTCTTCCTATTTTTAGAACTTGAAAGGCTAGATAACACTTGAAGTAAAATTAATGAACTCTTTTTAAAATCAGGTTTCCAGTAAACCTTATCACAGGATTCTGTTAAGCCTTGAACACTTCTAGAGTCTTGAAAAATTTCACAACTCTTCTTATTCAAAGTCCTTCTATAAGTAATATTTCACCCTTTAGGATCCAAGATTATAGCTAATCTTGCTTTAGGTCAGGGATAACTTAGAATGAATAAACTCTACGAAACTTTAAGTTTTTTTGGTGTGATCGACTATCTATTATAGGATCATTGTAATGTTTGCTTGAATGTTTAAACATGGTAGTAGATGTTTGCTTAATCTTGATTAGTTTATTAAATTGTGTCTATCCTATTAATTTACTTTCTTTCTTAATTGTGTCTATCCTATTAATTTTACTTATTTTTCCTTAGAAGTATAATCAACATTCAAAAACATTTGTGGAGGATTCAAGGTTTGATTTGGCATAGCACAAGCGCCATGACTAGGTAAGAAACTATTATCATCTCATAACACCTGATTCTGGTAACTTACTCATGACTTTTAAAACTTATTTGTGAAGTAATTAATGATTTAATGATTGTTACTGAGATTAAATATTGATATATTTTTCTAGGAATTCAAATATCTCATCCAAGGATTGGATTGATTTAGCAAGGTATAGCAAATCGTATATTGATGGTGTTGAATCATTCCTAGATTTTGCTTACTCTTATGGAGATCCTCAAGGACAAGAAATTCAATGTCCATGTGCAAAATGTTGTAATATTCGTTGGACTCGAAGGAATGTAGTGTATGATCATCTAATATGCTATGGATTTGTTAAAGGTTATACTAGATGGATCAATCACGGGGAATGGGATATCAAGTTGAATGTTGACGATGATATGGATTACTCACGTGATGATATTGATGGGTTGTTAAATGATCAATTTAGAGATGTTGCACAGGCTGAAGGAGTTTATGATGGTCCAAATGAAAATGCCAAGAAATACTATAACTTATTTAAAGAGGCAAGCCAAGAATTATATCCTGGTTGTATAGGATTCTCTAAATTATCATTCACACTTCGTTTATATTTGTTGAAGTGTCTACACGGATGGAGCAATGAATCATTCACTTCTCTTTTAGAATTATTAAAAGAGGTAATGCCCGAGTTGAACATTCTTCCGTCTTACAATAAGACCAAGTCTATGGTTAAGAATCTCGGTATTGATTATGAGAAAATTGATGCATGTCCAAATGATTGCATGTTGTTTAGGAATGATCATAAGGATGATGAATTTTGTCATACTTGCAGAGCTTCACGATATATTAAAAATCCTAAAGTTGATAGTGAGGTTGAGCCTTCTAAGAAATCACATCGAGTTTCAGCAAAGACTTTGAGACACTTTCCATTAATTCCTAGACTCAAAAGGTTATTTATGTGCTCAAAGACGGCTAATTCTTTGAGGTGGCATGACGAGAAACGTTCTAAAGATGGAAAGTTAAGGCATCCCGCTGATGGTCAAGCATGGAAAGATTTTGATAGGTTGCATCCAATTTTCGCACAAGATTCTCGCAATGTAAGACTTGGATTAGCAAGTGATGGATTCAATCCATTTCGAACCATGAGTATATCTCATAGCACATGGCCATTTATGTTGATGGCGTATAATCTGCCACCTTGGATGTGCATGAAATCTGAATATTCAATACTTTCTTTACTTATACCTGGGCCACGATCACCTGGAAATGACATTGATATTTACTTACAACCATTGATAGATGAGTTAAAATTGTTGTGGGATTCTGGGGTTGAAACATATGATGCTTCAAGAAATCAAACTTTTCAAATGCGAGCAGCTCTTATGTGGACAATCAATGACTTTCCTACATATGCTATGTTGTTTGGATGGAGTACAAAAGGAAAGTTTGCTTGCCCTTGTTGTAACTATAACACTAATTCTCACTATTTTAAGCATAGTCAAAAAATGTGTTATATGGATCATCGTGTTTTTCTACCCATGGACATCTAACAAAAGATCTTTCAATGGAAAAACTGATTTCAGGCCTCCTCCACCTTTATTAAAGGGAACCGATGTGCTTAATAGCTTACAAGATTTTGAAAATGTGTTTGGAAAGAAGAGAGAGATCAAATGATGGCCCATGGAAAAAAAGGTCAATCTTTTTTGAATTACCTTATTGGCAGCACAACTTGTTACGCCACAGCCTTGATGTAATGCACATAGAGAAGAACATAGTTGATAGCATACTTGGAACTCTTTTGGATATTCCTGGCAAAACAAAGGATCATGCAAAGGCCCGGTATGATTTGAAAGAGATGGGAATTAGAAAGAATCTTCATCCAAAAGATACTGAAGATAATAAGAGAACAAAGTTTGCAAAAGCTTGCTTCTCAATGACAAATGGAGAGAAATCTGTTTTTTGTGGAGTTTTAAAGACAGCCAAGCTACCTGATGGTAGTGCCTCCAATATATCTAGGTGTGTGCAATTGGATGAAAGAAAATTGTCTGGTTATAAGACCCATGATGCTCATTTCATGTTACATTACTTGCTTCCAATACCAATTAAAAGCATCCTTCCAGATCATATGGTTATTCCTTTGATTCATCTATGTTCCTTCTTCCAACGTTTGTGTCAAAAAGATATCATATTGGAGGAACTAGATTGCTTAGAAGTAGAGATCAGGGAAACAATAAATCAGTTGGAGCGAATTTTTCCTCCGTCATTTTTTGATATAATGATTCATTTGCCTATTCATTTGGTGAATGAAGTGAGATTAGGTGGTCCAGTTCAGAACCGATGGATGTATTCCACTGAAAGAGAAATGGGTACATTCAAATCATATATCCACAACAGACGTTATCCAAAAGGTTGCATAGTAGAGGCGTGTGTGGGAATAGACTGTATGAATTTATTTTCTAGATATCTGCATAGGGCAGTACAAACCAGATTTAACAGAAGAGCCCGAAATAATGATGAATGTGACCCAAGTGATGCAGAAACAGTGAGTTTGTTTCCTAAAAAGGGATGTCCTTTAGGAGCAAAGAAAACTGATCCAGTTAGTTTAGATAACAAGTCACTAAGTCAGGCACATGCATACTTATTGGGAAATTGTGATGAGATTCAAGAATATATTAGGTACTTTAATTTTATATAGTATTTTCTTTTGTATAATTAATTTTTAACTTATTTTATTTATCATTTTAACAAAAAAGTACATATTGTGTAGAGAGCATGAGCAAGAGGTTAATAATCATCTGCGAAGATCTAAATGGAGCAAGGCCAAAGATCATTGTCAAAACTTCTCTCAATGGTTTGAAACTCGTGCTTTGCAAGAGGATGTGCCTGATTTGATAAAATAATTGTCTAGACGACCAAATTTTGTTGCTAAAAGATACTCTGGGTATCTCATTAATGGATATAGATTCCATATTAGGCAACGTGATGCAAGGCATAAAACACAAAATAGTGGTGTTACAGTCGTTGCCTCAACTACAAGTTTTGCAAGATCAAAGGATAAGAACCCGATTGCTACAGATTTGACTTATTATGGTAGAATAGTTGATATAGTTGAGTTAGACTATTATAGTCATTTTAAGGTTGTTCTGTTTAAGTGCGATTGGTATGAGGTTGAAAAAGATATTTATGGCCTTACTTATGTCTATTTTAACAAGAGATGCTCTCAGGAAGAGCCTTTTGTGCTTGCTTCTCAAGTACATCAATGCTTCTATGTGCAAGATCCATATGATCAAGATAGACATTAAGCTATGAAGACTGTTTCGAGAGACTTGTTTAACATGAGTGATGAATTTGAATCTGATCTCCCACAAAGTTATGAAAATGAGTTGTCTGAACACTTGATGGGACCATCCATACCAGAAGATGATGGTGAAGTTACCTTAGTAAGGACTGATGTACCAGAAACTGTTATTGATGTGCCTTCGGAGGAATTTGTTACTCAACAACTTGAGGTTGAGTATGAAAAAGAGTTTGAAGATGAGTCTGAAGAAGAGTTTGAAGATGAGTCTGAAGAAGAGTGTGAAGACGGGTCTGAAAATGAGTATGAAGATGATTCTGAAGATGAGTCAAACGATGAGTCTGAAGACGAGTTTGAAGATGACACACCATGAGTTTTAATATTTTTGTGATGACCATATAGTGCTAACTCACTCTTTTTGTTATTTCACTATTTTTGTACAAACACCTTAAGATATCTAAGTATGTTGTTGTTGTTGTTACTTGTAAATTGTGGTATTTGCTGCTTGTATAGGGTGAATCATGCATGTGCTCCAACAAACATGACTATACTAGATCTAGTCAGCTTTCTTGTTGTTCCTAAAGTCAATGATTATACTTACTTTTCTTAGATAAGAATTCTAAATTATGATGTTTTCTAATTCAGACATGCTTAATGAAGTTCTTCTGTAGATGGCATAGGAGGTTCTTCTTTTCTTTTTTTTTCAGGATCAAGCTGTTATACTATTGTCCTATTTTGTAGTGTTCCTAATGTATAATTTTTTTGCTGCAACAGAATTTAGCTGGGATGATGTGAAGGTTGATAAACATCGAAAAGGCAGTGAAGGCGGCACAGTGAAATCAGTCCTCTGTGTGTAGTACTCCCTTATCTTTCTGGAAGCTAATGATTAGTTCACTACTCATTCTCATTAGCACAATGAAGGCAACACATTTAAATCTTTTAGGGGTCGTTTGGTTTGAATATGAGTTATGATGGGATAAGTTATGTTGGGATAAGTTATGTTGGGATTAGTTATGATGGGATAAGTTGTCCTGGGATTATTTCTTATTGAGTGTTTGGTTTGTTATATTCAAAATAATATATATTGATAAATTTTAAGAACAAGTTGTTTGTTTACAAAATTACCCTTCACTTTATTTAAACTTTTTAAATTTTTCTTTGTGAGCTTTAGTTATTCATTTTTTAAAATAAAACTTTTATTTTTTTTAACTTAAATATTTTTGTTTATGTATTCCCATGATAAGTACCATGTGTATTTAAAAATATAACTTTTTTCTTATTTAGCTTAAAAATAGAACTTTCCTCTTAAGTTTATTAAAGAGAAGAAAATTTATGAGAAATCAAAATAAAATAAACATAAGAATTAGTCAAATAAATTCATAAATAAAAATTATATTTATATAGTATAATTTTTTAATAGAAAAATATGTATAATTATCATAAAAATAAGGAGTAGTAAATATTATTATACATGGTATTAAAAAAAATGTAAATATACATAAATGTAAAAAATGATATATAAAAAGGATTTAAAGGGACATATTTGTCATTTACCTATTCTATCTCGGGATAAGTTATCCCGGGATTACTATACCACCCATGGGGAGGGATAACTTATCCCGGTACTAATTATTAATCCCGGGATAAGTTATCCCGGACTTGCCAACCAAACAACATAATTTTTTTTTTATCCCATCACTATTTCCTTATCCCATCACTATTATTTCTAATCCCTCACACCAAACGAGCCCTTAAAGTTATATTTCTGTAGCTTTTTCTATCTAACAATCCTAGAACGTATATGATTATGAAGCTAGAACCTCTTCTCTTTGCAGGTTTGCTTTTTCTATTTAACAATCACCTGATTATTGTTTTGTAGGTTAACTTACTATAGGGAAAGAAAATAAAGAGATTAAAAGAAAGCGGGAAGAATGAGTCAATCAGCAGCACTAAAGAAAAAGGGTTCGAATCCGAACAAAGCTCAAAGTCCACTGAAGAATCTGAACTTTGATATGCAATACCGATCAAGTACTGAATTGGCTAACCAATTCAAGATTAAGAGAGAACAACTTGCTAACGAACGCAATGATAAAGCTAAGAAAGAGCATGCACCAATAGCACATAAAAGAAAGAATTCTGAGGATTTCATTCCACAACAAGGAAAGAGTAAATTGCTCGAGTACAAATCAGTAATTCATTCGTCTTCGAGGGAAGAGTTTGGTACCTCACATATGGTTGTTGGGAAAGGACAAACTAAAAAGAGCTTATTTCAATCTGGAGAGTCCATTCAAGAGAAAGGAACTAAACTTCATATGCACAACTTTAGGTTCCAAACGTCTTCCAAGAAAGGTGTTACTGCTTCAGTACATGTGACTGGGGAAGCACTTGGTAATGCAGAGGAATAACATGATATTCAAGATCTACTAAACTTCAAACATGTGAAGAAAAAGTCGGTCCTACCGGCCACAAGTCCTGATCAGTTTCTGGAAGAACAACGACTACAAAAAGAACATGATATTCATGATCTACCAAACTGCAAGCAGGTAAAGAGGAAGTCGATCATACCAGCTACTAGTCTTGATCAGTTTAAAAAAAAACAAGCAATACACATATATGATGAAACAAAAACTGATAACCACAAAGTAGCTGATGATCTTGTGGATCAAGAAGAAATCGGCGGGGATGAGTGTGCTATAGATGAGGAAATTGGCATTGATTGTGGTTCAGAAGGTATGTCTTAAGCGTTGTAAGATATATTACTTATATAAAAGAAATTTCTTATTTCCTTACTGTTACATCAATCTAGGAATATTGGAGCCGAAAAAAGTTCGAGAAAAAACAACATGTAAGGATATTCACGCAAGAAATTTGGAAGAAAGAAAGAAGGTGACATTTGATAAAGGACAAGCAGTGGGACCAACTGGTAAGATAGTGTCAGAATTAACCAACTTTATAGGAACAATTTCAAGGAACTCTAGATTCATCAACTTGATGTACACTAGTTGGCATGCAGTGCCAAAAGATACGAAAAAGCGCATGTTGGAATATATCAATGTAAGAACAATCAATTTTGAGATTGCATATTTTATTGTTTGCTTTTACTGACTGAAGCTAAATATATTTTGTTTTGCATAGTCCAAATTCCTAATTCCAGTAGAAGGAAAGAAGTGGGTGATGACTAGTCTTCGTGATGCTTGGAGGCGATACAAACAAAAAATTAAAGAGAGATATTTTGATAAAAATAGTACCGTTGAGGATATACTAGCAAAACGTCCTGATGACATGCCAGAAGAACAATTCCGTCAATTGATCAAGTATTGGAAACACCCAACTGTTCAAGTAAGACTAAAATAGTGCATTTCTACTCTTCAACTTATTTTGCATCATATCTATTCTTTTTTTTTGTTTTATTTATTAATTCAAAGATCTTTTTTTATTTTAATATAGGCCATGTGTGAGAGGAATTCTCGAAATAGGAAAAAGCAAAAGTGGAGGCATCGAAAGGGACCTATTAATTTTGCAAGAGTACACGTGGCATTGGTAATACTTAGCAGACATTTCGTAAAAAAATTGAATGTCATGAGACCAATCCACTTTGTCTTTTTGGATGAAAAACTTACCATATCTTAAGCTTTCTTTAGAACATATTGATACGTTTTTTAATCTCTTTTGATATAATTTGTAGCGTGCAACCAAAGAAAACAATGAGGAACCATCAAAGTCTGAAATGTTTATTGCAACTCGTACAAAGACGGGAAAGGATCTTCACATCGATACTCAAGCTGCAATAGTAAATTTTTTAAAGTGGATTAGTGATGAATTTAATTCAGGTTTAAAATTTATATATTGCCAGGAGGGTGGTATTTTTATTTTAATATGCTTGAGTCGCTGGAAAGAAAGAAGTGCTTACATTTAATATGAATGTCAATTTTATTCAATAGGTTGAACTTCAGAATCGCCAAAATTCCGGGGAAACAACAGATGATGCTTTTACGGCAGTGTTTGGAAAGGAGCAGCCTGGTCGAATTAGGTGCTATGGTAGATCAGTGACAACAAGTTCTTTGAAGAAAAATGAGGAAACTAACAAGCTAAAACAGAAATATGCCAATGAAATCACTTATCTAAAAGAAGAAATGAATGAAATGAGAGAAGAAATGCGACATTTCTTTAGTCAATTGCTTTAAAACAACCCTGGATTGAATGTTTGAGATATGCCAGGGTGTGTTCGATCTAACATTGCTTCACCTATTGATGCGAGTAGTGCACAAGCTGTAAAAGGCCAAAATCTTCCACATTCTTCCGGGTCAACTCATGATCCAGTTCTTCAAAAGGTATTTTGTATTTTTTCAAATGTTCTTTTTTTAGAGCAATAAGTTAGAAAATTAGTATACTAAAGAACTATATCCTATATGATTGTAAATTTGTGATAGTTGGCTAATTAGTCCTCTCAGTTTCTCTGAAAGTCTTCTTTCTGGTAGTTGGCTTATTAAGGCAGTTAATTTGCAAGCTTTTTAACTTCATGTTTGAATCTTTCAAAGTAGCTCTAGTTTTGGCATGATTGTTCTGGAATTTTTGGTGGCTCTTCCTGTAGTTCTTCTTCTCATTGGTTGCTCATTTGTGTGTAGTTGTGGCTCCAACCGGCAGTCCTTGCTTGGTAGTGATAATAGGAGTCGCAAGGCCAATAGGTATATCATTTTTAGCCTGATTTGTGTCTTAGTCTAACGACAAATGATTGGATAATAGTATAGGGAGCTGGTTCAGGGCAAAAGTTGAAGGGTTGTGGATTGACTTTTCGAGCTCTTTCCAATACCTTTATTGATCTCTTAAGGAGGATCCATTTCTTCAGCTTCCAGTTCTTAGACTTTGGTGGCTCAAATTTACTCTTGGTGATAGTATTATTAATTAGCAACAAAATCCATTGTTTCTAATTGACTGTCATGATGTCTCAAGCTTTCGTACAGTGAATTTGTACTATTTTGCTCTCTGCCATCTGTATGATCAGTTTTTGGTGGCTCTTCATCTTGAACAATGTCATTAGTGACACTGTGTATTGGATGAATCATCTCGAGTCAGTGTTGTTAGGATCTGCCTAACTGTTTCTCTTATGAGATTGACAGTATCATTTATGTTGAAACTTCTCCCATTGTGGCTTATATCATCATTTTCTTCCGAGAAATCTTAAGGAGAGTTGTCTGTATTCGTTTCAGCTAGTGTTTGTTGTTATTTATTTCATCGAGTTGTTCATTCCCTATTTTTTATACAACATCTGAAAGAATGTGCTGTGATATCAAATGCCACATGCTGATGTGCTTCTGTTTTTTCATCTGTTTTCTGTATGTTTCGTCTTCTGCTTCTGTTATCTGTTTGTTTGCAGAAAATTTAATACATAAGGAGAGGAGAGTAAGCAATCACATGTAGAACAGTAGAAGTGTTCATGACTTACATTCACTACTTGTTGCTGATTGATTATATGAGTGATCTTGAACTTCTGGAAGAAGAATTCTCTTGATTGCTTCTTGTACTAGCTTAACTGCTAAAAGCTTAGCGCTTCAATCTCTTGGTTATTTGCATTGTGATTTGTAGTCATTGACTCTCTTTCGGAATAACTCAAAAATGAATCAGAACTTTTTGCTGCACAAGACTTGTTGCCACTATCCTTGTGATTATCTTCATCAGCTCCACGGATTAGTTTGCTGTCCAATTTTGTAGATTCATCCGAAATCATATGTCTATGATCAAGCTCCACATGCTCCTATTCTGCAATCTGATTTTTTGTTCATAATTGGTTTTAATTTTTAATTTTATTTTAAATGTGTAGGGAAATGGAGGTGATCAAATTTGAAGGGTCGCCACAAATTAATTTGATCTCATTGAAGTGGATGATGAAGAGTTTTTGAACTATTGTAAAAGTTTGAATACGTTATATTTGATTTTGTGAAATATATTCATTGCTAGAATATATTGAACTATTGTAAGAGTACTTTTTGAACAATTATTGTGTGCACATATTTAGAATGTTGTTTTATAAGTATGTGTATGTACACAAGACATACTATCTTTTGAAGTTTATTGCAAATCTATATATTTGAATTACTTATTAGCTAATTTGATGCTTGAGTTTATTTATTGCAAAACAATATTGGTGTTTTTTAATTAGAAATTGTGGCATATAAATATTTTATAGCCAAAATAATATTGCCACACTTAAAAGTGTAGCCATAGGATTGTAAATTGTGTATGCACATGGGCAAGGACTACACTTCAAAGTGTTGTCATACATAAGATAGAAAAGGCAACACTTTAAAATCGTGGGCAATATGGAAGAAAAGGCCACGCTTGAAAGTGTAGCTGATAAGGCAACACTTTTAAGTGTAGCTGCGAAGCGTGGCCTTTTTTCCTTTTAGGCTATGCTTGAACGTGTAGCTAACAAGGCAACACTTTTAAGCGTAGCTGCAAAGCATGGCCTTTTTGCCTTTTAGGCTACGCTTTTAAGCGTAGCTATTAAGACAACACTTGAAAAGTGTTGTCTAAAGTCAAAGGTTACACCTCTTTAGGCTACCCCCAAAAAAGTGTTGTCGAAAGTCAAAAAGTGTAGCCTTTTATCAAAGGACACACTTTTTGCTAGTTTAGACAACACTTTTCTAGGGTGGCCGTAGCCCTAAAATGTTGTAGTGTTCCATAATTTTGTCGTGGTTCATTTGTTCAATAGATCTTGACATAATACATCCTAATAATAAAAAAAAATATAGTAAAATTATTAGTTGATTCATAATGAGCGTTAAGATTGAAATTCTCTTAAAGAAGACCGTCAACTACTCAACAAACAAGGTAAGAAAAGTGAAAAAACAGCAGTCACACACAAACACAACAAAATGATGAAATGAAGAAAAATGAACGAGAAGTATTAGAGGAAGAATTGTCGAACTTCTTACATGGATATCTAAAAATAAGGCTTGATGAATGAAATCTAGTCACGTTACAAAAGTCAGTAGAGTTCACCAACTTGCGAGATCAAGAAAGATTGTCTAAACTTAGTAAGTACATTAAATATTTACCTATTTCAAATTAAATTTAGATTTTTATTATAGTTGGTTCACTTATAATGCTTCTTTTCAGTAGATCTTGTAATTAATTTTGGATTTTTTTTTTACTAAAGTTAAAATTTTATATTTGATTGTCATTAGTGCATATGGAAAGTTTGAATTTGTATAGTCTTAATTCATTGAAACATATCTATTCAAATATTTATTTAAATTATATTTGACTTTGACTTTGATTTTGACTATAAAATTTAAAAGATTGTTGTGCATAATTGGTATTTCTTTGAATTATCTTCATAGTATCCAACCACAATTGATAAGTTTATAATGTGTTAAAATATTTACCTTTTTAGCTTAAAATGCCAGATATCTTTAACTATTTCCAATCACATGATTTGGTAAGAAATTTATGCGAAGAAGTTTTTGATGTATATATATAGTGCCACTATATTCTATTTCACACGAGTGTCATTTCTTAAAAAAAAGAACATATTAGTTCTTAGATAAACTTTTATTTATTCTTGTTCTTTATAATTTTAGTGATGGAGAGCAAGAAGACTAGAGTGCGACAAACATTTTCAATGTCAAAAATAGAAAATCAACGTACTCGCAGTGTAGCGTTTTCCAATCGTCGCTCGAGTCTACAAAATGGCAAGCGAACTTGTTGATTTGTTCGATGTTGATATTGGAATAGTACTATTTTCGCCTGCAAACACCCCTTTCTCATTTTTCCACCCAACAATTGAAGCAATCATTGAGCGTTTTTTGAATCCCAATTCACAATTAAGTGAAAACACTCACCTAGATGCAGATCAAGCACGAAATAAGGTGCATCAACTCAACAATCACCTAAATGCTATGGGGAAAAGGTTTGAGCATGTAGAAGAAATTGAATATGCTCAAACACTAGTTCAACTTAGTCAAATCAAAGAAAATGGCGAAAGAAGTAATTGGAAATCGATTGACCAATTAAATGTAGATGAAATAACAACATTTGAAGCATGGTTAAGTACTACCGTCTCTAAAATAAATTATCGTTTAGAGAAGTTGGAAAATGAGGCTTTATCTTTGAAAAATGCACCTAGCACTTCATAAGTGATATCACCCTAAGTTATTATCATTTCAAATAAATATTATTTTAGAATTTTGCAATATGTTTTTCTTTATGTTTTGCTTTAGTTTGTTTCAGTGATGCTACAAGTATGTATTATGTTATGATTTTTTATATTAATATATGATTATTTTTTTAAAAAAATGCTATAGTATACCTTTTCTCCTTTGTATATTACTTGTTTTCTGGTTTAAAATATTAAAGAAAGGGTGAATAAGAATAAAAGATGAAAATTATAGAAATGATATCAATTTTTGAGCAGATTTTTTTATTCTTAATTTAATGTCTCTAAATTTGAGCTTTTGGAAAGAAAAATTCCTTGTAACAAAAGAGTTCTTTATTGAATGGACAGTACAAAGCATGAATCTCAATTTTTAAGACGGATGAATTCCAAATATCAAATGATTAAAAAAATTATTATGAGAATATCTTGTTATTAGTATTATATAATGGACTATGTTTTTAAGAAAATTTTTTAGATTCATATCGATCTTAATAAAATTTTACCCTTTGGGATGACCCAGTGGTTTGGGCTTGGACTTCCATGTTGGAGGTCTCAAATTCGAAACCCCTTGCCAGTGAAAGCAAGGAGTTTGCCTTCTGGGTCAAGTTCGTCGCATCGGGCTTGCCTAGTGCGGGTTACCGCTCCTATGTAATTTGCGAGCTATTGCATAGGAGCAGGGATTTTACCCTGTGCACCGAAAGAGTAGCGGCAGTGGGTTTATTTCCTTGTCATAAAAAATAATAAAATGGTTGACTTTTTAATTAGGAAAGTCATTCAATCTTGTTCTTTGATTGATTTTTGTGTGAGATTAAGTTTGATGTACTATTATTGTATACAATTTTTTACATTATTAGGTAATTTAGTTTTGAATGGAAATATAGCAATTTTAAAATAGTATTATACTTACTTAGGTTTTTTTTTAAAAAAAAAAAAAAACTGTAAATTACGGAAGATTAAATAGTATTAAGGAAATTTGGCCACCCCTTGACCAATCAACCTAAGTGGTTGTTCAATTGAAATTTACATAGTAAATAAATAATATTCATTATTTTAACATGGAGCCTAGCACCTAGGGGTGTACATGGCCGGGTTGGTTCGGGTTTTTCAAATATCAAACTAAATTATTTGTGTCGGATTTTTAAATTTATAAACCAAACCAAACCAATAAAACTCGGGTTTTTCAACCTCGGGTTTTTTCGGGTTTTTCGGTTTCTCGGGTTGTTTCGAGTTTTTTCGGTAAAGTATTCATACAAACATATAATTTACTTGTACTTCAAATATTTTTTTTAGTCCTACCAAAATACAACTATCTAAGATATTTCTTAAAAATATAACACAATATAATATGATTAATGACACTAAAATATCCAACAAAAATAATAATAATGAAATCGCGTAAAACAAATATTGCAAATTAACAAGTCATAATGAAAATTATCATAATTTAAAAGTACTAAATCATGCTAAAATTAAGTTTAATAAGTATTAGTTACATGACTAAATATTAAAGAAAATTAAAATTAGATTATGTATTTTAATTGTCTAAACCAATGTAAAACTAAAGAACAAATATTCAATATTATTGTCATTCTTAGTGTTGAATTGATTTTCTTTTTGCATTAGTATTGATTTGATTTTGATTTAAGCTTTATTATAATTACCAACATCTATGGACTATAATCTTTATTGACCTATTCATAATTCTAAGTTTCAAACTTGAAATAATATATTAAAAGATAAAAACTATGGAAAAGTATAAGAAATATTTAAAAATTATATCAAAGTAAATATTTTTATGTATAAAATAAAATTTTAAAATTATATATATAAATTCGGGTTGGTTTGGTCTCGGGTTGGTTTTTTTAAGTTAAAACCAAACCAACCCAAATATATTCTGTTTTTTTTTTTTCCAAAACCAAACCAAGTCAAACCAAACCACTAGTCGGGTTTTTTTTCCGGGCTGACTCAATTTGCGGTTTGGTTCGATTTTCGATTCGGTTTTGTACACCCCTACTAGCACCTTGTGTTGCATTTTAAAATAGTGGTTATTAAAATTCGTTAGCACATTAAACGTTTACCTATTTCAATGAAATTTAAATTGTTTTATTATAGTACACTTATAATGATTCTTTTCTATCTTCTAATTAATTTTTACTTATTTAGTATCAGAACATCAAGATCTGGACTTGTATTACATTACATAGATTTTGATGGTATAGAAATTTCATACACTGCACAAAGCTTAAAATCTTAAAGTTAAAATTTTAGATTTGAGTAATATTAATGCTAGGGGAAAGTTTAAATTCTCATTGTTTTAATTCATTAAAACATTCCTATTCAAATATATTTCATATTGTCTTTGTTAATACAAATTAGAAATTTGATTTTGACTTATATAATTTAAATGATTTTGGTGCGAAATACTCTGTTTACATTATCTAATCACAATTGATATCTTTATCAAGTATGTTAAAATATTTACCATTTTAGTTAAACTGTTTGATTTCTTTAACTTTTATTTATAAAAAAGAAAGACTTTGACATGAAGAAATTTTATGTCATATAGAAGGATTATATTAAAGAATAATTAGTTATTGTTGTTGTTGATTTTTGTAGACTAAGAAATATTTGTAAAATAATGTATATTAGAAAATTTTGTAATAATAACTACAAGCATTTATTTATTAAAAAAAAAAAAAGATATGTGATTTATTAATGCAATATCTTAGAAAATTATGATACCTTGTTTATAAATTATAATTTGCTCATTTGGTAAGATTGTCTAAGAGTTGATGAAGTTTTGATAATTTTCAGAAATCATAGTGTTCTGCTCTTGCTGAAATCATTACTTTTAATTCTACCGTGCTCTAGCAATTGCACTTTGTAGACCACTACTATGTAGTTAAGCAGGGACAATAAGTCTGTAGTGACGGAAATCTATGAATGAATTTGGGGGGGGGGGGGGGGGGTTGTCCAGTACTTATCACTTCCCAAAACAAAATTCATAAAGTCCTCGGTAGGATTGACAACATTCCCCTCAAGGCACGATTTCGGGACAGAATCTCTTGAATAAAAATCTTGTCATTATTATGAAAAAAAATACAATATAATAAATTCATACTGCTCATCAAAATAAAAAATTTCAACTTCAAAACAACTTAATTTTAAATCAAGTAAATCAATTCAAACTGAATTGTAACAACCCTATTCAAATATTACATGCCATTATTGATCTTCATTTTTTGTAAGTTTCTCACCCGATGTTCGATATTACTATTAGAGTGGTTCCACATTGGGGCTAAATATCTCCTAACACAAGTGCTTTCAAACTTCATGAGACTCAAGATCATAAAAGAAAACTTACTACTCCATCGCAACTTTGTTGGTGTCATTGTATTTCTTTCATGATATTCAAAAGTTTGGATTTTAAAAGTTTTAAATATATAAAGTTGTCTTTCTAGTATTTGACAAGAGGATCCACGTGGCAACCACCAATTGGGTAAAAGAAGAAAGATCTTAACAAATGACTTGTCTTCAATTGTTCAAAAGTTTGACATAGTAAACGACAAAAGTCTTTTGCTGTTGTTTTACATAGGCAAGAAGAGATGATTGATTGAGAAAAAACGGTATCGTTTCATCACCATTCTTGTTGGTTCTCCGGTCATTGTTCTCTTTCACTTTCGTAGAAGTTACAGTGTTGAGAGCCATTACGCGCAAATTCCCAAACTGAGTTGTTGACCAAACCCACATTCAACGCTGAAAATTTCAAACTGATTTGGTAGAAGGAATAAAAGCTTGAAATTTTGGGATTTAGGAGTAAAAGTTGAAGGTTTTGGAGGATTTTACGATTTGGGGTTGTAAAAAGAGAGATGAATCCGAATTGGGAGCTTCAGAATTGTTGTAATCGTGACCAAAAGCTCTTTCTTGTTACCATTGGTGTTTTCACTGTCGCCATTCTTGTTGTACGTTTCTCTGTCTCTATCTCTCTTTGGTTTTGCTACATTGTGATTTTAGGAGTATGGAATGTTGTTTTCTTTTCCCCTTTTTGGATCAAGTTTTGGTCTTTATTGGTAGTTGGAGACTTGTAAGCAAAGAGCTTTTGGCTTAACTTTTGCAGTTATATGTTCCTGTTTTGATTTTTGTGGCTAATTAGGAGAGGAATGTAAAATTTCAAGGTTATTGGTATTGTTTGATAAAAAAGTTGAAAAGGGAATTTAATAATTCTTTTGGGTCCTTCTGAAGCTTGAACTTTTAAAATTTTTAAAGCTGGCTCTGTTTAACTAGTATCTATCTATAGCTGTAGGAGTCGTTTAGTTGGCAGACTAAATTATCCTGGGATTATAGTCCTGACTAATTTATCCCATCCGTTGGTGTGATAAAATAATTCCAAGTTTGATGGGATACAATGGGTCATCCAGGATTAAAGTTGGGATTTATTACTAATTAGAGCTTCTGAGTAGTATTGTTGGCCTTTATTTACTTCATTTTGTTGTCAAAAAAAAAAATGAAGTTTGGGTATAAGAAGAGAATGTCCGAAAACTATTATGAAGTCAGATTCAGTTTGAAAGGAGGAGCAGACTATTTTATAGAATGTATTCTATCTTCATATCTTTTTGTTCTGGTCCTTAACAGTCAACACCATAAAAAATTAATGGTTGAGCAGTGATCATCAGGAAACGGTTAGTTTAGGAGGCTGTTCCCAATTATGTGTTGATAGGAATAAGGATTTATGTGTAGGTGAAATGTTTAGCTAGCGCTGAAAGGTGTGGCTTAATGGTCGATTAAACTAGAATGAAACCATGGAGGACCAAGGTTTGAATCCCAGTATAGACCAAACCATGGAGGACCAAGTCATAGCAGCGTTAGGATGGGTACTGCTTGGCAATTCATGAATATCTTTAACAAGAATTTTGATTGGTCGACATGATGTGTGTCGTCAAAGTTTTGAAACGGTATCTTATGACTCAACATATTGAATAC